CTTAACTTCACTAGCCTTCAATCTCCTCATCTGTATAATAAGAAGATTGAACTCAATGACCTTTGAGGGTCTTTACAGCTCTAAATCTAGGACCCTATGAAATATTTATTAAATTGAATTGAACTGAACTCAGATCTCTTAACAAATCTACTTCTTTTTCTATTACATCATGTTATGGATTTGGTGGGAGATAGATAGTTTAAAAAGAAATAGAGCAAGGGATTGTATAGTAGATAGCACCACCATCTGCATTCTCCATGCCCACATTTGAGCTCCAGCTGGAAGAAGTCACTTAACTTTGTTATCTAAACTTAACTGAGTGTCTATCACTGCACAGAAAGCCTTTTAATCATCTTTGTGTCCCAGTTGTATTCCCTATTAACAATGTTCCAAATCATCTCTTCTCAAAAAAGACATCAATTACTCCCTTTTAACCCTCTTAGATGATCTCACTTCCTACCTTACTGAGAAAATAAGCTTCATTAAATATGGGCTCCCTCATCTCCTCTCCTCCATCCATTAAAAACTCTCTACTTAACTATCTTTCTTTGCTTTAGTCACAGAGTATGAAGCAGCCCTTCTACTTGACAAATCCAATACCTTCTTGATCTTATTCTCTTTTACCTCCTTCCAGACTTCCTCACATTGATACTTCTCTGATATCTATGTTCCTCCATCCCTCTGTGAAATTTTCTGGCCCATCCAAAATGGCACTGATGATACTATTGATGGTCCAGAAGGAAGCAGCATGCCAAAAGATGGTTCAGCAGCTATTAATGAGTAGCCACAGTTGTCCCAAGTATCATTTCCTGGGTTGGCCAGTTGGAGAATAGGTAGTAGAGATGAGGAGACAAGGAAGAACAGAATAGACTCGGGTTTGTGAAACCTTGGAACTCCCATGTCAGGAGATAATAGGATTTAGTGTTGGAAGAGACCTTAGAAATTGTATAGCTTAAACCCCTCATTTTATAGGTAAGGGAGCTAAGGTCAAGAAAATGATGTGACTTAGCCAATATCATTGAATGCTGGGATTCAAACTCAATTCTGATTTTAAAAATCTGTCACTTTCCACTACATCATGCTGCTTACACTGAGAGTGCATGTAGTTGCAAATAGCAAAGAGCATGGCATTTGATAAACTGGTATGCAGCTGTTTGGACACACAAATGAAAGAACACTGCCTCTTATCATGGAAATTTTCATGAGTTTTTGCTGTGGAGATCACCTGACTCTTAAAAACACCCACCATCAAAAAATCTCCCCAGGAATCAGTCTTTCTAAAAATAATGAAATACCAGGTATCTAGGAAAGATGTGTAACCTATTAACTCTTCTTAGTATTAAAGATGCTATGCTACATTGCTATGACAAAGTATGTCTTATTTTGTTTTCAGTGGAACAACCTAAAAGCCTAGTCTCACAGAATTATTCATTACAGAGACTTTAAGATGTATAGGCCCTGCTGTCTCACCCAATTCTTGGCCCTGAATAGAGAAGTCTCAGAGGGGACAAGACAGCCATCTTAAAGTATTTGGAGAGCTGATATGAACAGGATAGATGAGACTTGTTCTGTTTGGTACCAGAGAACTGGAGCTGTTTCCAGCCAGAACTCGGAGCAGTGGATAGGAGCTGAAAAGAGGTCTATTTAGTGTTGACAACAGGAAAGACTTCCTAAAAATAAGAGGTGGCACAGGGTGGAATAAACCACCTTAAGAAGTGGTTGTTTCCCCTTTTTGTAGGTTTTAAGCAGAAAGCTGCATGACCAGTTATAGTGTATGTTATCGTGGAATTTCCTTTTGCTTCTGAGTAGGCCTGACTGGTCTCTGAGGGAGGTCCCTTCCAACTCTCAAATTCTGGGATTCTGTACCCTAGTCATGGCAGGTTTCAAGGTACCTAGGGGGGCAGCTAAATGGCGCAGTGGATAGAGCACCAGCCCTGAAGTCAGGAGGACCTGAGTTCAAATCCAGCCTCAGACCAAACACTCGTCACTTACACTCGTCACTTACTAGCTGTGTGACCCTGGGCAAGTCACTTAACCCCAATTGCCTAAAAAACAAAACAAAACAAAACAAGGTACATTGGGGTTTTGAAGTTTTCTAATAGATTGTTGCAATGACTAAAACCATTGGCACCCATCCTTGCCAAGTTTTATTTGAAAACTACTGAGAGAGGAAACATCTCACAATATTATAGAGTTTCTGGTGTTCTACTCCAGAAGACTTAACTGGACCTGGGGAATTCTTCTTTCTCGTTTCTGCAAGGTGTTATTTTAGTGTTAGACTTACAAATACAAACCTCCAGACAGAAAGAAAAAGTCCTGGCTCTGTAATGAAAACAGTAAGGTCTGCTCTCCCCCAGGGCCAGAGTTGAATCCCCTTAGAGATGGAAGGAGAATTGGTTGAAATGAGATTAAGCCCAACTCTTGACATCAGTTTACTTCTTCATTTTCCAACTTCAGTTTTGGAATGCACTGGGCCCTGTGATTTGTGTGTTCACTTTCCTTCCCTTTAGTAAGGCTGTCAGCATCCAGAACTAACCTGTTTGCTCACTCTCCTTTCTGCCTGCCAAGGGACCCAAATGTAGAGCACAAAGTGGGACAAAGACCCAGAAGGAAGAATGACAAGAAAAATAGGGCAAGGGCCAAAAAACGCAATGTAGTCAGAACTTCGTTTTAAATTTCTCCAATCTGGCAGCCTGGAACAAAATTATTTCTCAGAATACAAATGAAATAAAGGAAGGTGAGTTTGGAATGGGAAGAAAGAAAGTCAATAGTTGATCCCTTGTAATGAAGGGGACTCTGGATAGTGATCTTTGTAGGAGGAATGTTAAAGGATGGAAATAAGGGATAACTTACGGGAAAACACTCTTTCCACCTTCTAAGGCCCAAGGAGAGGGCCATGATAAAAAGAGCTAAACCAGGAGCTTTAAATCATGTGAGACTTAGTGTAGTATAAATCATATTTTCTGTAGTTTCAGTTTTCATGACTCTGCATGCAGTCAAATAACATATGAAGATGACAGTGAAGATAAACTGCAGGTTGGAGGCACGGGGAAATCTCAAAGGTCAAAGTTCCCTATGGAGAAGGATCATGGACCAGAGAAGGTATTATATGGGGAGCTATATGCTTTTGTCTCCTCTTGAAGAAGCATGGCCCTTCCCAGAAAGGGATTCAGAAATCCTGTTCCACTACAAAAAAAAAAAATTAAAAAGTTTCTGAGAAGTAAGCAGGGAGCTGCCACCCCAAAGGTCAATCTGTAGGTGGATCTTGTTCTCCTCAATATGGACACTCATATTTCTTTATGCCTTCTCATTCTGAGCTGCACTTGCCCACAGCCTTCCTTGAAGAGAGGATCTCTCCAAGGTGCTGGAGGTTTGCTCGAAGTCTTTTAAACCTATGTGGGAACTAGTAGAATACCCTGATTCCGTCATCCCTCACTCTCAGCTGCATCATTTGTGCACTGTCTATTCCAAGCACACTTTTCTTGGATCATGGCTTGCACCCTGTTTCTCGTGCTCAGGTCATCTTTGAGTAACATGTTGCAAGCCTACCACCCACTTTTCACTGACCTTCAGTTTTGATTCTTTAGTCATTGCTTTAGACCAGCGGTGTCAATCTCAAACAGAAAGGGGAGAGGTGCTATTAAAAGTTGAACATAAGGATCCCTGCGGACTGCAAATTGACTTAGTTTTAAATGGCAATGTTATCTATGTTTTACTGCATTTTAATTTATTTTGTTGATTATTTCCCAGTTACATTTTTATCTGGTTCAGGCCACCCTCGGGGATATTGCCTGTTCCCGATGCCAGGAGAGTGTTTGATAGCTCTTCTTCAGACAGTACCATAAAGTAACGGGAGTTTTAAGCGGTATTTGGCCTGGAGGAAGGCAGGGGTACGGACAGACCCCCAGATGTCTCAAAACCCAATCCCAGTATCTCACCCTGCTCGTGAGACCACTGGCTAGGTTTTCTTTTTATCCTTGACATCTTTTCTGGAAGAGGTTCCCCCTCCACACCCCCCATGCCTCTTCCACCTCTTTCCTTGAATGTCAGACTCTCCAAACTCAAGTCTTCTTCAGGAGGTTTGACTGAAAGTTGTTCAGAGGTGGAGTCAGGAGGTGGTGGTGATGGGAAGAGACAGAAGGACAGTGCCCAGTTGTTCTTTCCTCTCTCTTCCCCTGCGCTCCCCATCTCCCACGCCACCCTCTCCTCCCACCCAGCTGCCAGGGCGAATTCTCTCTTTCAGAAAAACCAGTGTTCTCCTGGGTGTTTTGGGGGAGGGGCGGGGCCGGCTGGCTTGGCGGCTGTTCCGGGTTATCGCTTTCCTTATAACGAAGGCAGCCACGAGTGCTTCGGCGGATCCTGAATTCCGGCGGGATGAACTGTAACAACTTCCTCAACCTGCAGAGCAGCGTAGCTGTGACAGGGGAGAGCCTGGAACGGCGGGGCTCTTGTGCTTAAACTAGAGAGGGGCTCTCAACCGGCAACCGGGAGGCGGCGTGCATTTATTTATTTATTTTCTTCCCTTCTCGGACTCGTTGTTCTGAGTCCAGCAGGAGCGGCGGCGGCGGCAGCAGCAACCCAGCAGGAGAAGCAGCAGCAGAGAAGCAGCCACCGCGCTTTGCCGCTTTGCCGCTCTCCTCCTCCTCCTCCTCCTCCTCCTCCTCCTCCTCCTCCTCCTCCTCCTCCCCCTTCTCCTCCATCCTTCTGTCTCTCCATCCTCCCTCACTCCCTCCTTCCTTCCTTCCTCCTCCTCCTCTTCCTCCTCCTCCTTCCCTCCCTCCTTCTGCTCCTCCGCTGTTGGTAGAAGAAGGCGGATCCAAGCGGCTCAGGAGGGGAGCGCAACCTGCCGGAGTCGGCAAGCCCCTAACGCCTTTCCCGAGCTCTGAGAAGAGCTGAGCCTCAGCGCCTGGGCTTCTGATCCTAAGCCGCCGGAGCCCGCCGCCTGCTGGGTTGCCCAAGGGGTGGGGTGGGTGGGTGGGAGGGAGGGCAGGGGAGGGCGGGGCAGGGCGTCCCGGGCACCCTCCCCGGGCACGGCGCACCGTCTCCCGGCACGGCGCATGGACTGATCCCGGAGCGCAGCGCAGCACCGCACCACACCGGCCACTGCTGGCTGGCCGAGTCTTCTCTCTCCCGTGGTTGTGCTCGGGGCTCTGCTTGGTCTCCCCGTCACCGGCCCCTTGGAGTCTCCCATCCCTCACCCTCCTGCCATCAACTTTGAAGGGTCCGTGCAGTGCGGGCCACAAGATTTCCTAGAGCTTTCTTTATTTCTGCTTTTTTTTTTTTTCTGTGCGCCCCTTCCCGCGGGGACCCACCGCGAGCCAGTGACAATGGATGTAATCTTGGTCCTGTGGGTTTGTTTGAGCGCAGCCAGGTCAGGTAAGTGGAGTTCGGGGTACGTGGGTATTATTGGAAGGGGCTGTGGGGAGGGAAGACCCAGAAGGGGTCGGAGCATCGGTGCAAAGCGCCCGGGAATCGGGGGTACTGGCATGTGAACTGCTCTCCAGCATCTCTCAGCCCTTCTTCCTAGGGGTAGGGGGCGGTGTAGATTGCTAGGCGTGAGCTCTTTCCTTGACCCACCAGCCTCAGGGTAGGAGGGTAGGGGGTCCCTAGACTACCGTGGAGAGAGATGCAGCCCTAGAGACTGCAAGGTGTGGGTGATGGCAGAGCAGGCGCTCTTTGGGAGTGCCTATTAACGCTGCTTCCCCTCAGTCAAGGTGGCGAGTCTAGCTCACCGAGCCCGTACCCTGCCTTCCCCAGGGGACAGTGCCTGGGCGTGCAGCAGAAGCCAAGCCCAGATGGCGGAACCCCTCCTCCCCTTCCCCAGTCCCTAAACTTGAGAGGCTCTTTGGACACCGCCCTCCCAGCCGGTAGCACGGCTGGCACAGCCGGGTTAGGGATCCAAGCAGCCTGAAGCTTAAAGGGAGCCCTGAACGTGTAGCCCAGATATTGTACTTCGGGCCGACAGCCGCTGAGTGGAAAGGCTGGCGGGTTGGAGATGGTGAAGCATCCCGACTCCCCAGCAGAACCAAGCGCCCCCACCCTCCCGCGCTGTGGGGACTTGGGCAGTGTCCCCACCCGCAAAGTGGCGAATTGAGCAAATGTCTTGGAGAATCGGAGCAATAGTGACTGTTCAGGTGAATCGTTCAGGCCTATAGCTCCCTTCCCCCGCCTCCTTAGAAAAGATTTCTTTTTAGTTCAGGATAATGGCTCCAACTCTCCGCTCCACTTTGCTTTTTAAGTCGCAGGCTTATTCGAAAATCCTTGCATTCCACCCTTTGCCCCTAGCCTCTTTTTCCCTTCACTGGGCATCCTGGGGGCTGGTGACGGGTGGGGCACAGTGAGAAAAGATCATCTCCGTTCTTTCTTCTCCATTTGACTAGTGGTGATGGTAGGTGGGAGAGAGAAACAAAGTCTCTGCCCATTCCCAGGGAGTTGGAAAGTGACCCAGTGGCTCTGACCACGAGACCCTTTCCAGTTCCTGTCACTCTTGAGGCTCAGTTGCCTTCCCTGGGTGGTTTTGCAGGCAATGCCTCTCACCCTACCCCACCTCAGCCCAAGTTGCCCCAGAACCTCAATTAGAAGCCTGACGAAGTTCCCTTTCTCTTGGAACCTCGGCGGTTCCCATTTTTTTCTTTTCCCCACAAGGGGAACCCAGATGTACTGGAAGAAGGTTGCAGGGGGACAGGGGAGGTTTCTGAGAGAGAAAAAGTTCTCGTAGCGCTCTCCCATTATGATGACAGCTTGTGGACTGAATCAGAGTTGGGTTTGGAGAGAGAAGAAGGGAGTCTTGTCCTCTCGCTAGCCTCTAATCCCCTTCCCTCTTAACCCCATCTCGTCCTTCCCTCCTTTCCCAACCACAATGCTAGGAACTGTCTGGGTCCAAAGATTCAGTTTCGGCCTTTGTCCAATTCAAGGAACACTTGTATATTCTTATCTTGGCACGGCTTCGGTAAAGGGTGAGAAATGACTGATGCTTCTCCCCACCCTCCCAAAGCAGCCCCATTAAACCTTCTTTGGGGGTCAAAGTTTCTTCCCCATTGCTCACTTTTGTCTGCCTGCCCATCTCACCCTAGTCCCAGGCTGAACAGAAAGGCAAAGCTCGTTCTGGCTTTGCTAAGCTGTCTCTTGAGTCAGTGCCCACCAGGAGGGCTTATTCTATACAAAATCCAACCGCCAACACCGAGCCTAGAGCATCAGTCAGGTTGGTTAACTCTGGGCTGAGGGGCTATGCCCAAGAGCTCTAGCTCTGGTTCTGACAGACTTCGGAGGGAGGGCTCAGTTTGAACTGAGTTAACTTCTTGGGATGCCAACATATCAAGTATTCCCAGGAGCAGAACGTAGGAAATGCCAAGTGTCCAGCTCAGTTATTATAGTCACATTGAACCATTTCCATAAATATTCATCTATATATGCTTCCCTGTGGAAGAGAACATATTTTCCACTGTTCATTTAGGCAAGGAGACCTTAAACTCTATCTTAAAAAGTGAAATATTATTTCCTGTCCTGAAAACCTCATTATTGTTTAGGAGGCAAACCTAGGTTCTTGAAGGCTGTGCTTACTGTTCTTCTAGGCACTACTAAGCTAATATATATATGTATATATGTATATATGTATATATGTATATATGTATATATGTATATATGTATATATGTATACATGTATATATGTATATATGTATATATATATATATAAATAGTATATGATTATATAGTCTATATTTTATTATATATAATATATATGTGTGTACATACATATTTACATATGGATAGCTAGAGATAGATATACATTTGGTTTTTGAAGACTAGTGTAACTAAGCTTCAGAGAGTCGTCATCATCATCAAAGGGTTGTTCACTTGTGTGAATATGTGTGTATGGCTTGGTAAAACTTTAGCTGTCTGTTAAGGGTTGGGTCAACCTTGGTGAGGGGAATGTACCCACATGAGTAAAAATCACAAGCCCATGAGTTAAAGTACAAATACCTCAGGGAAGATGTTAGCCTGGAATGTATTTGTCGATTTGTACACTTGGGGCCAGTGGCTGTGTGTAGAGGCTTACCCATGCTTTAAGGGTGGTCAATGGGAGAAGAAAGGCACTCTAATGTAGAATAGTCTTCTTTTGTGGAATGGGAAGAAATCAATCCAGGTTGGAACAGCTGCCTCTAAACTTGGTGGAATAGAGACATTGACCTTGGGTGAGGCTGCTGCCAAGTGGACAGGACTAGCAAGGGAGGAAACAGTGCTGTGACACCCTCTGTACCCCCTGAAGTTTCTATCTTGAGATGAAGTTCTAGGTGCCTCATCCTCGTTATATATAACACTGATGTTTTGGAATACCATTGGGAAAACACTAGGTTTTTTGTGTTATTTGTACATGGTCACATCTTGGTTTTCTAAGAAAGAATAAACAAGGGACCATAGAGAGGGTTAGAGTCAGGGAAAGATTCTGACGAGATTCTCTCATGTGCAATTTGTTAGAATTCAAGACGTAAAGTTTTTTTTTTATTCTACCAAAGAACCCATTATCCCAGGGTTACACATCAGTCTTCCCAATAGGCAGCAAAGCTTGTGTAGTGATTAGTTTATCTAAAACTGCACACCCACTCGGAAAGTTTATTTATCTGGTGTTAACAATTGTTTCTTTGGGTTGTTAGCAGTCAAGGATGAAACAAACATGCCTTTGGCTCAGTGAGCTACTCAAATATCGTCTCTTTTTAGTGGAAATGAATAGATCCTATCAAGCACACTTTAATTAAAGTGGGACTCAGAGCAGCCAGGCTAGCAGTAGTTACTTAACTTACATATGAAAGATCTAATGATAGGTGCCACATAGAAATGCTGGGTGAATTGTTAATTCTGATGACATTTGTTCAAAGGATAATGTGGAATACGTGAGGCAATCACATGTAGGGACTGAGCCTGGGAGTCAGGAAGACATTGGTTCTAGTCTCACCTCTGATACTTATGGCCCATATGATGGCATGCAAATCATTTAACCTCTCAGGGCCCCCACTCAACCCTTCAAGAGTAGAGATCAAAGGATAGTTGAAGATTTGTATTGCTAGAGGAAGCTTCTTTGCTGGTAGTTCCCTAAACTAATAAAGTAACAAATCACAGTAAAAATGGAAAAACAAAACAAAAATACACGTGCATTACAGGTAAGAGATGCTGTTCTTTGGGCTGGCAAGTGTTGTGAAAATAAACTGGCATATCCAGCAAAATAGCAGTAATCATGAAAATTTGTAGTGAGAATTGATGGGTAGTCTGAGTTCTTTTCTGCTATTCTCATGGTCAAAGGACCTGGAAGAAGGCCCACAGCCTATTAGGAAGACCACTGCAGCTGTAGTGAAATATTGGTATGATATGGACAAAAGCTGAACAGATGAGAAGATATGGATAGGGGACAGTCTGTATCACTGAAGGAAATCTTCTCATTAATGAGTTCCTAGATAGACTGGGGCTTTGGAATATTGTAGTAATAACTTTAGAAAGCTGTATTAACAATACTACCTTTTATTAGCACTTTTTCTCAGAGGCCTCCAACCATAAATATGGGAATACATGAGAATCAACGGATATTTACCCACTGGCTTCCCATCTTGTGGTGTTCTCCTCTAGAGACAATGGGGACAAAGAGGGAGGATGTCTGGAGATGAGGATGATTCTGAGTGACATACATGTAGCCTCTAAGTTTGTGTAGAAGAAAGGCAGCTTGGCTAAGTGGATAGAGGGGATCATAGAATGAAGAAGTTCATGTCCTTCACCTGCTACATATTTGTTGTGTGATCAAGGCAGTTTCTCTTTTAGTGCTGAGGCAGGAAGGTGAGTCTACTTTGATGAAATCACAGGTATGGATCAAAAAAAGAAAAACAAAAGCTCTACAAAGCACTTTAATATCAATTAGCATAATGGTCCTCACAACAATCTGCTGAGGTAGCTAATAGATTTTCACTCTATATTACATATAGAATATTCTGTATTCTCATATATTCTACATGATAACAATAATCATTAACATTTATGTTGAACTTTAATGTTCACAAAACACTTTATGCATATAATTTCATTTGGTCCTCACAACAGTTCTGAATGATAGGTGCTATGATTATTTCCATTTTACAGAAGAGGAAACTGAGGCTGAAAAAGTTAAATGAGTTACCTAGGGTCATACAGCTAATAAAGTGTCTGAGATGGGATTTGAACTGAGGTTTTCTTGACTCTTCTAAGTCCAGCACACTATCTACTACACCACCCCACATTGCTGCCTACTGTTATCATCCTCATGTTATGAGGAGGGGTGACAGTGACTTTCTTGATATGGGGAACTGCCAATTAAGAAGCCTCTTCTGCCAATGGAGTTCATTAAGGACAGATATGCT